CCTCGACGCGGATGACGTGAGCCATGTCCAGGGTGGGGAAGAAGTTTGAGGTGGGCGGCGCGGCCTCAAGAGGAAGGGTGGTGGTGGTGACCACGGGCAGCTCTGGGAGGGAGGAGGCAGGGAGAGGTGTGTGTGTGGAAGAGAGAAGCAGGCAGGGAGAGGAGAGGACACCATGGGAGGAGAAGGGGGAGAGGAGGCCACCAGAGAATAAGCGGCGGTGGCAGCTGAAAAGGCCATGTCGGAAGCGATGGCGGATCACTCTAATACCATAATTAGAAATGGATTAGAGATGGCAATGTACCGCACTTGTATTCATCCAAAATGGGGACACTAAGAGAGAGAGAGAGAGAGAGAGAGAGAGAGAGAGAGAGATACAAGGTGCATAGTTAACAAACTAACAGCCTATCCTACTCCTCAGTGAGTGAGGCCGCAACATACATGGCGCATGCACATGGATAATGCTGATTAGATCAACCAGTAGACTTTTTTTTAGAGAAAAGGCGTAAAGCCCGACTTCAAATTAATGAAGCCATTAACCGGTTAGGATACAACAGTTTTAATACAAAGGAGAAAGCTTGAAGAAAAACTGAAAGAAAATTGGCGGCGTGCCCACACATTGCAGAGATAAGCAGCAATGGCGAGCATGGCACCAGCACATCGAAAACAGGATCAAGCTGCCGGAGAACTCTACGCAAGCTAGAACAGCAGAGCAACTGCAAACAGTAGACTGCACATGTGAAGATCGAGAGGATCCGAGCTGCATGGAGAAAAGCATGGCTCCAAATCTAGCTGCCCCGAGCCTTGCCGGAGGGTAGATCCAATCGCCCCTATGTCTGAACCATGCCACAACATGCAGACGCCGTCCACCGGCCGGCTGCCCAGAGCCGAACTAGATGAAGAGCCGTTGAAGGATTGCAGGGAGGCCACCTCGTCACCACCACAGCCGCCATCTCGGAGAGCAGAGCAACGCCGCCGCCGCCAAGCACCTTACCGCGAGACCACAACCTCACCCTCCCTTGAAAGCCGCCTCCAAGGAGGACCGAGACGCCACAGCGCCACCGTCGTTCGGCATACAAGGCCAATGCTTTCGCCCAGGATCGTGGGAGAGGAGGAAGGCAGTGACGAAGAAGCCCGACACGCCCTCAGGAGGGAGATCGACACCGGAGCGCCGCCGTCGTCAGGGTCGACGGGAGGTCGACCAGGGGTTTCCCCCGTTCTAGGACAACCACCACCCACCCTCATGTGCCAGATCTGGCGGCCCGGAGGAGCAGCGCCCAGATCGGCGAGGGAGTACCACAACAGAGGAGAGGAGACCGGGAAGCAAGCCAGCTGAGGCCAGTGGCGCAGCCCGCAGCAGCGACGAGCCTCCACCGCCCATCGCCGCCCACACGGCCAGTGGGAACGGCCAGCACCGGCGACGCCATCCGCCGGACGAGATCGGCGCGCCCTCGCCAATCAGGGCCGCCACCCTGAGATCCAAGCCCCCCTACAGCGTAGAGCAGAAGATGCTCGCTGCCACCTTCATCGGCAGCCGCGCCGGCAAGCGCCTCGGGTGGCGGCGGGGAGGGGAAGGGGGGAGGGAGGGGGACAGCGAGG